TTCCCGGCCGACCAATTAGTGATCACCAGCCATAACATTATGCAAATCTGTGATTCCAAGCCATAGTCTTATGCAAATCATGCCGTGTGGCGTGTTGTCTGCTGACCAATCAGTGGCTGTACTTTCAAAAAGCCAACGGCCACTTTCAACCTGCTGTCGATGACCGTTACGAGTAAAAAAAAAAAACTTTACTAGGTCTTACTTTCGGGGGGAGGCCTTATATTTAGCAATTCAGCAAAACCTCTGCTAGGTCTTATTTTCGGGGAAACATGGTATGTATGCAAACAAGCGTTTTCACTTATGAATTTAAACAAGTGCAAAACACGGAACAGGTTAACCAACAAGAATTTGGAAAATCTGCTGGTTGTTTCAACATCTGCCATTACGCCAGACATCAAGAAGATTGCCGCCAGCATCCAATCTCAGCCATCGCATTAATCATTTGGAGGTCCGGCCCCCAGTCAGTAAACTTAATCCTAATTTGGCCCTTCTTCAAAAAAGGTTGTGCATCCCTGCTTAACACTTCTAGTGACAAATTGTGTTAATTATTGTGTAAAAATAGCCCTATAATTTTGGTAATTTATTATTATTATTTCTAATTACAAAACAAAACCATGTCATTTGTATATACAGTGGAACCCCGGTTAACGAACGTCCTGGTTAACGACCAAATCGGTTAACAAACTTTTATTTTGCAAAAATTTTGTCTCAGATAACGAACGTAACGGTATTTTGTGTCAAATTTTAGTTGGTGTTAGGCATGCGCGAGTTAAGCATTGCTTTTCCGAGTGTTTGTGCTATACTTCTTTTTTCAGTTTTGTGATTTATATATTTAATCAATATGGCATCAAAGAAAGGAAAAAGTCATAGTGGCAATAGAAAATGACAATGCGCTATTGCATTTGAGAAAAATTTTGATTAAAAGAGTAAGACAATCAACTTTAGATCAATTTCTTGTTCCTTACGGAAAGAGTTTGTTTCTTTGCTAAGTTATGGCATCACAACACTTGGGTGATCTGACTAGGGGGAATGCCTTCTGGGAGGTGTTTTTAAGGGAAACTAGCCCCTATTTAGGCGTTAAAGACATGAAGAAATCCCGGAAAACTCCACGTGGCCAGCCTGTCTGAGCAAGGTGCGAACCCACGAACGAACTCCCCGTGTTCAAGGTACGAAGACCACTTAGCCACTGGTGGGTTTTTTACCGAAAGAGACTTTGACTCTAAGAATCTTCCGATGAAGTGCTACCTGTTATTTTTTTGGAGGGAATCCCCTTCTAAGCATTAAGGTTCATATATCTCCACTTTTCTGCCATCAACTACAAGAAATGAAGGTATTATTAAACAAAGTTTACATGTTTGTTGCTGTAATGATAGATACTATGTTTTCCTACATTTTCATCAAAGAAAATTACTGTATATTTCAAATAAAATGACAAAAATTTTGGAGCCTAGAATGGATTAATTGCATTTGTATTAATTTCTATGGGAAAAATTGCTTCGGTTAACGAACAATTCAGTTAACGAACGGAGTCGCGGAACGGATTAAGTTCGTTAACCGGGGTTCCACTGTATCTTAAATGTTTAATATCTACATAATGTACTGTACATATTTTAAGTGTATATATATATATAAATGGTGTTGACAAGGTAATTTTTAATTGAAAAATAAATCCTATTTAAACCATGGAAATTATATCCACATCAATTATTCCTTAATTTATTGTTTTCCCATATCTGTTGGTTATAACTTTTAGTCATGAAGAACATTAATCTCAGATATAAAGAGTAACATCACATACAAATGTAGTAATAGCAGATTATGTTTTCAGAATGTGGTAAAGCAAGTAGCAGTTTGGACTCTGTATAGTCACCTCTGCAACCTTGCAGACAAAGAGATGGAGAGGAAGAGTTGGTGATGAATAAAACAGCCTAAACTATTGCAAAGTATTACCAAAGCACTTTGCATATTCATTTCCACTAGAGCATTTTTATATTTTCATGACATCATCAAAAAAAAGACCAAGCAAATATTGTAAATATTGAAGGTTATTATTCAGTTTTAAAAGAAATGCTATTAAGTAAATCAGGACTAATCATTCTTTTAAAAAGTAATAGTGACGACTGACTTAACAGTGGAAAAAATATTATTAGTATGTTTTTTGATTTAGTAAATACATATAGGCAAATGTAACTGTTTAATTCATGTTATGCATGGCCCTGCATCTATTGTTTTCCCACATCCACAGTTTCTTCAAGTCTCCCAATAAAAATGAAGAATCAAGGTTTCGCTGCATAATGCAGCAAACTGGAGTGCCACAAAATATAATACTGAGCAGTGCCATAATCAACGTTCCCTTAAGCTGTGCGGACACACACTGCTCAAACTGTTGCCATGCACAAGAATTTATGTGCCGTGCAGATGAGCATGCACACTGATTTGAACTGTTGTTTACCGATTTCTCACTCCGTCTGTGACATGATTATTGATACATATATTTCAATTAAATACATAAATCATTGACAAAAGATAATATTTTATACGGAAGTATGTTTTAAAATAAATTTTAATCTTTATAATTAATTATTTTAGTTTTTAAAGAGAAAAAATAAGTTTCTCTATGTATCTGTTCAGCAAAAATTTTTTGCTCAGAGAAGTACACATTCTGCTCAGCTAAAAAAAAATTAGAGGGAACATTGGCCATAACACTTATATTACTAAAAATATGAAAAGTGCATTGATAAAGTAAGGATGCTGCAAAAAATACTGGTTTAATGTCCTAATAAAAACAGTATTTTATTTATTTTCCACTTAGAAAAGGGTAAGGGTAAACTCCAAATGATGAGTTTCTCACCCCCCCAGAATTGTAGACTTCCTTGTAATAGCAAAAAAGTCAAAGGAACCATATCCGTACATGTGCCTCCAAAGATCAGTTTTTACTATTTATTAGTACTGCTGCTATTCTCTATACTCCACATCACTATCACTTTGCACATAGTCATGCACTTTGGTGCTAGCTTTCGCTCACACCTCAGCACCTACTGGGAGGCGAGTCCACACCCTCCCAAAAATATATATGTTACCGCTAAAGCTTGAAAGTTGTTAATCTGCAGATTAACTAGGGTGATCCGTTAAAGTTGTGAAAATTGTTCCATTTCTCAAATTACCTAGATAATGTTCAGAGTATCTAGGTAATCCGCACGTTACCTACTAGGCACTCGGTAAAGTGAAAATAAGATCTTTGCCACAAATAAATGTACCACAAATAGGTGTGCTTGTCGCAGAAACCAATTGCTATGAAATTCAAAGTGTCACCAATCTTTAGACTGCACAATTGGATAATGTTACCTATGGTGGGTAAAATGGCGGTTCGTCTCTGATTCCAGTGGGGACGCACGTTCAAACCTAACCTAACCTATTCTAATAATTTGGTTGGTAATACAGTAGAGCCTCGATTATCTGACTCAATTGGGGACTGGGGTTGGTCGGATAATTAAAAAGTCAAATAACCGAAAAGTATGAAAAAATCCATTATTAGTGTAGTATATTATTATATCCTATGTAATTAGTATATTAGTATATCACTATTAATCTACTTCGCGTTGATTTTTCATTGATGTTAAGCCTAACAAAAATTTTTAAAATAATAATCATCGCTATTGTATCATTAAAAATTAGAAAATTAAGCCTCGTTTAAATACTGGCTCCCTTTCATGGTTGATCCAGTGTTGCCAGCTATAACACGTAAAAATAATATTAAAGTAGCCCAGACATGGCCAAATATTGTAGTGCCACATCACTAGCGGACATTTGAAATTTGCCCACTAGGACGGTCGGTTAATCGGGGGTCGGATAATCGAGGCTTTACTGTAATTATAATAATTTATTAAAATAGGTTAGGACAGAATGTGCATCCCCACTGTTTCCTTTCTTCTGTTTGCTGGAATCAGAGATGAGCCGCCATTTTACTCACCATAGGTAACATTAACTGCACAATTACATCATGCGATCACCAGAAAAAGTATGATAACTTTATTATTTTTCATCTCCGGTCCAAAAGTAGGGTATCGTTGAAGTCGTCTCGGTCCCCTCAGTTCAGATAGATACTCAAAGTCCCGAAATTCCATAGGTGGTTATCTATATAATAATTTCCCTATAAATAATTGTATTAATATTTTAAATCGTTTGATTTTTTATATGTTTTTTAATTGGTTGATGATTGATTCTATCAACTAATTTGTCAATCGTTTGATTTTATTAACTTGATTCTTTAGATATCGAAAATTAAATGAAGAACATTATGTTAATTTAAGCGTACAGAAACGTTGCTGTTGTTTCAGCAAAGATCTTATTTTCACTTTACCGAGTGCCTAGTAGGTAATTTGCAGATTACCTAGATAATCTGCACATTACCTAGGTAATTTGAGAAATAGAACAATTTTAGCAACTTTAACGGATCACGCTAGGTAATCTGCAGATTAACGAGTTTCCGAGCTTTGGCGGTAACATATATACCATCAAGTACTCCACAGTCTAATGGGCCACTCACATCTGGCATAGTCACAGGCTAAATAGTTAAATGAGACGGTCTTAGCGGAGTGCACGACACCACTCTCGATGGCAGGCGGCCGATTTCGGGGAGCCACATCTCAAGAAGGGTCATACATAAAGGTACGGTATCTTTGACTTTTTTGCTCCTATGGGTACGCTGTACAGTTCTGGTAAGATACTAACCGTCTTGGTTGGAACTTTCAGAAGTGTAATTGTACAGAGAAAAGCAATATATTTTATCCTACGTCATTTGTAATTAGTGAAATAAGCATAAAGATTTTTATAATTTATTAAATAATAGTAAGTGTTCAGTTTATATACAGTATATTGTTTGTAAACAATCATAGTAGTGTCAAAGACAAGGGATTTAACAGTGATTAAAATCACCTGAGTACATTATCACAAATTTAAATAAATAATAATTTTTTGCACAGAAAAACCGTGAAATTTACCTTTTCCAGTTTATTTTCGGGACATTTATTTAAAAGTTTTAACTCCGCCTCCATTCTCTACCCTAAACGAAGCTGTTCCTAATGGCACTTCGAGTAAGTGTTGCCAGATTTCGTACCACTGTTCTCCCCAAAATAAAAATAAAAATAAAAAAAATCGATATGTGGCCGTTTGGTTAAGATAATATACTTTAAGTAATTTGTGTTATTTTTAAACATTTTCATTATAAAATAAACATATGATGTGAGTGAACCGGCTTAACCAAATGAACGGATCTCTAGTCTTATTCTAATGAAACAAATTACCACTGGTATGCCTCGTATTATTAAAAAACCCAATTCAATATTAGTAAAATATATATCTTCCATGTTTTCCAATTATAAAATAAAAACAAATCATTAAGTGAAAATTCAAAATTTGTGATGTTTTTGAAACCGTGGCAATAATCTTTGTAATTCAAACACAGATTATTTATTGTATTTATACAGACACTTGGCAAATCAAAGAATTAAATTTTATACGTGTTCTTTTCATTTATACACGTTTCGGGCATTTCTTGCCCCTCTTCTGCCAACTAAAATAAAAGTTCACAAGTTACAACAGTATAAACAAACATATAAGGTCATATTATTTTAAAACATACCTTTTTGATTACAGATTATTGAAATTTAAAACTATAAAATTCCTTTGCCTATTTTACTAAATTTTTTATTTATGGTTTTGAACCATTTATTTTAGTTGGCTGAAGAGGGACAAGAAATGCCCGAAACGTGTATAAATGAAAAGAACACGTATAAAATTCAATTCTGTGATTTGCCAAGTGTCTGTATAAAAACAATAAATAATTTGTGTTTGAATTACATAGAAAATTCAAAATATTTTATCGAAAGTTAAATTACAAGTATTAAAATTATTATTATTTTTTTAAATTTAAATGATTGTAATTTAACTTTCAGTAAAATATTTTAAATCATTGAGACATCATTATAGGGAATTTTTCCAGAGAAAAATCCCTAAATTCAGGGAAATTTCGAAGATAAGTGACTCTGCCTAGTTGGCAACACTGATACTGTTCTTTCGTTTGAAGTTGTAGAATTCTGTAGTTCTGGAATAAAACTTTTTCTACGTCTTCTTCTGCATTTATATTATAATCCAAAGTCATTTAGTTTCGACTTAAAAAAAAATAAAAATGGGCGATTCTACTAAATGGATTCCTATGGAATCAAATCCAGAAGTATTTATTTTAATGCAGATTCTTAAAGAAAACAATTCTAAATTATGATTTTATTAATTTATTATTATTATTAATTTCAGGTAATGAACAAGGTTAGTATCCACCAATGATAGCTTTTGAAATCTTTAAATAAAAAGGGTTCCAAGAATATTAACAATTCACAAGGATACAACAGAATTTTAAACATGTCTGTATAAATTTAAACTTATTTAATGTATTATGTGTGAGTTAATAATGATTGTTGAGTGTAATTTTATCAAATATAACCAATATTTCAGTTGTTGAGACACGTGCGTTAACTAAAACTTGCTTTCTAGTCCAGCTTTTTGAAAATATCTCGAGAAATGTATTTAACTCAAAAATAAGTTGGCCCGTCGGTTGCCGAGCGTATACTTGGCAACGGTGGGTGGCCGACTATCTGTGTTTGGTGGTGTTATCTACCGAACAGTGGTAATTTGTTGCAGATTCGGTCTTGCCGATGGGTCGACTGCATAGTTTTCTGAATTTTCATGCACATAACACACAAATGGGACCAGTTTTCCTTTGAAAGTCCTCCTGGAAGACAATTGTATAAGCAGGAAGGGTCCACCTTTTATAAAAAAAATGTTAAATGTAGGAAAGACAACTTAACCACTCGGCAGTGAGCGATGACTATAGTCGTCAAGGGCGATCGTGAGGCAGTGGTGAGGACAAACAATAGTCGTCAAACAATTTTAAAAGGTATCGCCAAAAACTAGCCTATAACCAATGTTCCCTCTAATTTTTTTTGTCGATGAGCAGAACACACACTTTTCTGAGCAAAAAAAATTTTTGCTGAGCAGATTCTGAGCAAAAAAGTTTTCTGATCATATATATATATATACATATTTTTTTCTATAAAAATTAAAATAATTAATTATAAAGTAGAGATTAAAATTAATTTTAAAACATACTTTTATACAAAATATTATCTCTTTTCAATGATTTAATGTATTTAATTGAAATATACATAGCAATAATCATGTTGCAGACAGAGTGAGAAATAAATAAACAACAATTCAAATCGGTGTGCATGCTCACCTGCACGGCACACAAATTCTTGTGCGCGGCAACAATTTGAGCAGTGCGTGGCAGCGCAGCTTAGAAGGAACATTGCCTATAACTACCACGAAAAACCATTTACATAGAAAATTAATTATGTCACAATAAAAAAAGACTTTTCTTTACTAGACATAACTGTTTACAAAATCTTTTTCCAAAAAAATAATGAGAAATAATGATTGCAAAAATACTTCTAAAATTTTCAACGTTTATTCTCCACTACCTGGAGTAGAAACCTGTTTGACTAGTCCATTGTTGAAAGGTTAATTATGGTGTTAATTAACTATCAGCTTAGTAATTTATATACTGGTATATTTATTATAATCCACTATATAAGTGTAAAAATAAAAATGTACTGAAATATGTAGTGATTTATATTAAATTTTAACTTGACCCTTTACATCAGATTATGGTTATCAGGTTATGATATTGTCAGGAGGTGTCTCCTCTTGGCAGATTACTCTTGTGCTGCATTATCACATCAATCAGATGAAACCAAAAATAGGTTTATTAAGTAATACATTTTCACATCTAACCAGTGTTTCTTTTCTAAAATAATTATTGTCAGTATTCATTAATTGTGACTGAACATAGAATTGTTTTTATTGAGCCAACTGCCAGTATTATGTACTAGCCGTCTATATATGCCACCTGCCAGTAAACCTTACTGGCAGCTGAAATTAGTCTTGAATATAACAATAAAATGAAGTGTGAGAATTTGAACCATTAAAATTAGCAATCTAACTACTGTAGAATGAATTATGTTTTTAACTAGGCTGATAGCCTGATTTACAAATATAAATCTAGCATTATATTCAGAAAGTAAAAATCCAAATTTATAATTTTACCTAATTGCTGATATGAAATGTATAAAATAATAATAGTTCTAGTTTTTTAAATATACATTTACATCATTTATGTTTTCTGTTAAAACATGGAGAATTAGCATAGATTTGCAAAAAAATTTACACAATGTACAGTATTTTTAGTAGTACAAATGGAGTTTGAAATAGATTATTTCCTGTATAAAATTTATTTTATTTTATTTTTTCAATTCTATATTAAATTAGAACACTATAATCTTCACATTTATATATTATTTTATATTTGTCCCAAAACATTCTTATTTCTTTGAAATTGTGAAATATTTATACATAAATTCATTGTAGAGTTCATTTGTATATTGTTTCCTTTCTGATAAAGATGATAATTAATGGAGTATTCTTTTAGAAAGCAGACACAGAATTTCTAGAACAATGTTTGGTATACTTTTGCACTCTACATTCCTGGAAATAAATTATGTAGAATTGATTCCATCAAGTATAATAGGCTCTCAGACCATCCTCTGAGAGCTGTTGTACATGAGCTACTTAATGTCCTCAGAGGATTAGAAAATACTGTCTAATAATGTGTGAAGAGACTATAATTTAAGTATACTAGTTTGTTATCTTTAACCACAAGAGAATTCATAGACAAAGAATATTCATTTAACAAGATGTGTTTATTTTAGAAATATATAATTCTTAATGATTTAAGTAGACCTAATAAACAATTCTTAATTGGTATTTTAAAATTGCCAGTTGCATTTAAAGCTGTATAGGCAAAAATCACTTTAAAGTTTATTGTTCTTAGGTATGTGAAGTACAGTATATCTGTTCATACATGATCATTGCAACTACTGTTTATCTCCTGGATTTCTTCCTCTGGGAGTTTTGTGAAGTATTGTATTTATGTGATGAAGCTTAGCTCTGTTCAGGATGATCTGTGATGACTGTGCATTTTGTGTTAACAAAATGCACAGTCATCACATTATTAGAAATGTCAAAAATCTTTGATGAAAAAATATCCCATGAACCATTACATTGATGCTACAGGTTGCCTTATTGAAATAAATTGAGAGTTATAATCCATCACCAAACTATCATGTAATTTAATGTGTTTGAATTTCAACACAATTGTTTTAAAATAAAATAGCAGACATAATTATGGCCCACTCTGTATATTTGATTGATTTGTTTTCATATATTGTAATATATACTGAATGTTTTTATAAGAAATCATAAAAGTTAATAATTTGAGATCATTTATATTTGTAATTGTAAATATTCTTGGATTATGAACAAACAGATTGTTAATTTTTAATAAGCAACAAAATTTACAATGTATTCATTTTAAATTTGTACCATACCAGTTGCATTTTTTATAAATAATACTATAATATACATTAGTACACTAGTATATGTAAATTTTCTGTTTATTGAAAAATTCAACAAACAAGTTTGAAAATTTTTATGTATTAAAATATTTTTATTTTTTATTTTCTCAGGCTGTCAAGCTTATATATAATAAATAAAATTTGGATTATTTTTTAAAATAATGAAAAAATTGCATTGATTTAGTTTAGTTAGTTAAATGACAGCATAAATTTTAATACATAAAAATGTGTGGTAAAATTAATCTTATTTTATTTAAGTTCATTATATTGAAACAACTATAAATATAACACATTAAATATAAGTATTAACTGTCTCATTAGGAAATGTGTGTCTAAATGTAAGGAATTTCTGCACATACACTTTTTATACTGAATCTTCATTGTACCGTCTGAAAAGTTAAATTGAAAAATGAATAAACTATATGTAAAAAAATCATCAGAATCCCAGATACCATATTTCCAATTGTTTTTATTGAGTGTATAGTGGAATCTGCTAATTTAAACAGATTTCAAAATTCCTCACTACATAGCACCAAAATTCCTCACTACGTCTCTGATGATATCAGAGACGTAGTGAGGAATTTTTTCCTGGCCATAGCACCAAAATTCCTCACTACGTCTCTGATGATAATCAGAGACGTAGTGAGGAATTTTGGTGCTATGGCCAGGAAAGAAAATTGCACTGTTCTAAAAAATACACTTAGCTATTTTATGCTCTTTATTTCAATACAATAACATTTCTACAATAATTTTATTTTCCGAGCTTTTCTTTGAACAAATTATTAATTATATTGTAAAAATTTGCTTCACAAAACATTTCAGATTCTATTGATAAAATACTTAAATTGGTAAGATGTTCATGATTCATTTTTGATCTGAAATAATTTTTTTATAATTTTTAGTTTACTAAAACACTGTTTTCCTGAAGCAATTGTTAAAGCAAAGTAACTATGTTAGGGTAAGATTCACATTTGTAATTTACAATACCCTGCAAAATTCCAAAGTGATACATATTTTCCAAATAAGCAAACAAAATTTATGCTTGAGTTTTAAAACATGCTAACTCATCTATTAAGCATAAAGCATCTAATTCATCATATTTAATGTAACAATCTTTGGCAGCTTTTGTCAAGTATTCTAAAGTTTATGAAACTAAACCTTTTCCCATTATGAAAGAAAAGAGCAACAATATTGTATGAATGCTCTCAAAGTGGTCAATAAGTTGCAAAATAATCATGTCGACAACTTCTAAAAATAACCAATTTAATTTTTGTTTAGAAATAGTAATCATATTTGAATTACATGACAACAATTTTAACTTCTTTTTCCTGTTTTTCAGTCATTTCAAGTTCAATATGTAGCTCTTGACACTTTTTCTGGTACTCCATGCTAATCGCTTGAAAACCATTGTTTCTGAAATCTTTAAAATAATTTATTAATCTATTCAAAAGAACGGATGTTCAACAAATATCTTGGTCTCTTGTTTGCAGTTGTAAATTTACTGTATTTATTTGTATCAAGATTTTTTTCCCACATAAACAGCATAAAAAATTTACAGTATAAGACTTAGTGATGCAAAAGGACTTTTGTTTTATCTTAACACTATCTGCACCAAAAGACGGATTGTATGATTTATTAATAATAATATTTAATACCTCTTTAAATTGTGTTTTTAGTGCAGATACACAGTTTAATTGTGTATTTCAGGGCCGGCACGAGGCAGGTTCAGCATGTTTGCCAGAATCTGGCCCAGCGTTTTGAAAGGCCCCGTGGCGTACGAAAATTCATCAGACATTTTGCAGAAGATTGAATATTCGGGTGTGTGTGGAAAATGCAATCTCATAATCCACTAATCGATGACAACTTGCTGCACACTGACATGAGTGCAAGATTCTCTCTCAATCTTTGCATTGAAATATTTGTTGCAGATTTTCACATCAAACATTTTCACATCTGCCAATGTTTATGTCAACATACCCAAATTTATTAATTGCGTTACAAATAATGTTAACTATGCTAGTAATTGTTGCTTCAGCTGAGCGTAGTTTCTCACAGTTGAAACTAATAAAAAATTATCTTCAATCATCAATAAGCCAAGATAGATTTACATCTCTGGTTATTGTTTCAATAGAAAGCGAAGTAGCAAACTCAATTAATTTTGATGACGTAATCAAAGATTTTGCAGCAAGAAAAATTATGTAATATTCATCTTACAAAAAATATATGTAACATCCTTTGTACTTATAATAAATAATTCCTTATTGTGAAATTTAATTATAGGATTTGAATGTATTCTGGCTCAGCAAAAGGTCACACTGGCCTTGTATCTGCACTAAATGTCATGTGTCACTATGATCTTTTAAAGTTATTTTTAATATAAATGTTATTTTTTTTCCATTTTTGAGTTGAAAAAACAAAAATAATTAAATATTTTTTAAATTATTCCAAAAATGTTATCATTTCTAATCTAGTATGTGCAGCTTTAACTCCAACAAGATTAAGAAAATGTATAGCACAGGGTACAAATGTAGCTAGATTATTAACTTTCATTATGAAAGTCTACATACCATTGTATTTGCTTGACATGTTTGCTGCATTATCATAACTTTTTCTCCTGAAATCTTTAACCTCAAGTCTGTGTTTGTTTAATTTATTTAAAATTACATTAGCAAGTTTCTCTCCTGTCTTTTCTATCAAAGAAATAAAATCTAAAAATTTTTCTTCACTAATAACAGTTTTGTTAGCAATTTTCAATGTAAAATTATCACCTATGGCCAGGGCCATATTGGCCATAGCCTCACTATGCCTCTGATTATCATGATTATCTTCAAATAAATAAGTCTTTTTATGCTTTCTTTTCTATGCTCTGTCTCAACATTGGTTGGTAAAATGAAATAATTATTAGATATAACTACTGGTATTAATTAAAATTATTAATTAAAACTACTGATGTTTAAAATTAATTATTTTAATTGTTATTTGTTTACACTACAATAGTTTAAATTACTGGCATTATTCTAGCTGCTGTTGAAGTTGTTAGCAGACAACAGTACAGGGTTAATTATTTATTAGTTAATAATAATAATAATTTACGATTAATTAGTGTTTAAGTTATACATTTTTTAATTGTTTTAAAATGTTCGTTTTAATATTACTTCACTAAAAACAGACTTTTCTTTAATTGTAGTCTTATTTACATACTTCAAATGTTATCAGTATAGACAAGTACTAATAAGTGGAGTCTACTGTATTTTCATTAAATTATTTGGATATTTAATTATATGAAAATTTATTTTATAATCTAGTTTTTGTATGAACTTGGATTGCCAAAAGAATGGAATATTGTTGATGTTCTTGGATTAGATGAAGCTCTTTTAGCAATGGTACCTCGTCCAGTTTTAGCAGTGATTCTTCTTTTTCCTCTTGGCGATAAGGTAATTCTAATGTATAATAAAATTTTTTAAATTTATTCTGAGAATTATAGTGGAATTGTATCTGTAAAACTATTATATATTTTTAAATTTTTTTCATTTGTAAGCTATAAAAGTTTATATACTATAAAATATAATATATTGTATGAAGATTAATGTATTTAAATAAGAAATATTAAACTTTTTTTTTCTGTTTCAGGCAAACATAGAAGAAAATCCAATTGGAACTTTAAAGCAAGAGGATAATGTTTATTTTCTAAAACAAACTATAAGAAATGCATGTGGTACAATAGCTTTAATTCATGCTATAGGAAATAATGCTAAGTCTTTAAATTTAGGTATAAAAATACTTTTATTATTTAGGTTTAGATTATTATGGAAGTGTAAATAAATTTTAAAAGTATGAAATGTTACTAATCTCTTTTTTAGAATCTGATTCTATACTTAGCAAATTTTTAATTAAGACCAAAGATGAGACACCAATTACACGAGGAAAAATTCTAGAAAGTGATATGGTATTTAAATATATAAAATAAAATCTTACTTTTAAATTATTCTTGATTGATTATTTTATTTAAAAAATTTAATAATAGTTATTTCTTTTAGTGTTTTTCATCTGCTCATCAGCAGTATGCAGAAGAAGGACAAACACAGGTAAAATTTAATATAAGATAAATCTAATTTATTTTACTTNCATTTTCTATAAAATTTACAAAAGATCAAAAAAATATATTTTTTAAAAACTTGCGAATATATATATTTTTTCGCAAGTTCTTAAGTTTATTTTTTGTTTATTATTTAAGTTTAAGTTCTTGGGAAACAATTTATAATGATGTTTAATAAATCTATGCTTGAATTTCTCCAAGTATTTTAATTAATGTAGAATGTTTATGATAAGGTTTGGTACAGTTTGTTGTCTAAAATATTATTGAAATAGTCTCTATACACAAACATGAAAATCAATTATATATTATTTTTAAAAGTTTTTTAAATTTGTAATAATGTATTCTTCTTGAATAAAAAGAACTATAGTTAAACATTATTAATTTAAGTAATACAGTCGACCTCCTATAACATTGTTGATAATTCCGTTTTATATGAATTCCATGTTGTACAAGTCACTTAGATTTTACAAATACGTGAGCCATTCACAGCCCAGCACACATATTTGTAAAATCTAAGTGACTCATACAACATGATTCATATAAAACGGAATTATGGACAGTGTTATAGGGGGGTCGACTGCAATTAATAATGTAATAGTTTTCTTTGATTCAAGTTAATAAGTACTAACACAAAAATTTGCAAAATGATAACTTTTCATGTTTTATTAATAAATAGTCAAGTTTTCAACATCGTGAAATTATGGCATCACGCTACATTTTAAAACATCATCAAACCTATTTCAATAAATCTAAAATTTATTTACATAAAAACATATTTTGGCCATGACAACACAAGTTATTTAAACTTGCATCTGTTTCAGGAATTGTTAAATTTTATTAAAATTTGTTATTAAAGAAGTATATTTAAAAACCAGATGTTCAACAGTTATATGCAAGCAGAATTGAACTTAGCCAATATTGTATCCTAGACAAACAGTCTCATTGTACCCCCAATTCCACCTTAGCCTCTTGGAATCTGACTTCATGATCATGCACATTCTGTCATTCATTATTTACGAAACAGAATTTAAACATATTTTTTACTCTGTATGGAAACAGAGCTGTGTAGCAGAAAAGTAGAGATTAAATCATTTAAAAAGAAAATATAGTGAATTAGAAAATCTATAGTTCTTACATAGAAATTTTGAAGTTAATTAAAGAACATAACATTTATTCTTTTAAAAGGTCAATTTTTCAAAAAAAAATATTTCCTCAAAAAAATTGATGAAACTTCATGGGTTAATTCCACAGAAATAACCGCCGTTTTTTTGCCTGGACTGCATTTAATCAGAGACAAAAGCTTATCTTCCTATTCTTTATTTACTTATTTACTATGCATTTCGGGTGCAATATTTTTGCGTAACTTAGACCCCTCTTCAGGTTTTACATTTCTATAAATTGGTAAATTCAATTATTGCATTTGTTATTACGGTAAATTACAACAATTTTGGATATATTTACACAATAGTTAACTAATCTGTTTTATGTTTAGACATACATCTGCCCAGTGTTGATGTTGTGTCCCCTAAGGCATTTTTAGACCGTTTTTCCCCTTTTTTTGTTTTCTTTTCCTTTAGCTCCTCCCAAGAAAACAAAAAGAGGGGAAAACGATCTAAAAATGCCTTATGGGACACAACATCAACACTGGGCAGATGTATGTCTAAACATAAAACAGATTAGTTAACTATTGTGTAAATATATCCAAAACTGTTGTAATTTACCGTAATAACAAATGCAATAATTGAATTTACCAATTTATAGAAATGTAAAACCTGAAGAGGGGTCAAGTTACACAAAAATATTGCACCCGAAATGCATAGTAAATAAGTAAATAAAGAATACGAAGATATGCTTTTGTCTCTGATTAAATGCAGTCCAGGCAAAAAAATGGCGGTTATTTCTGTGGAATTAACCCATGAAGTTTTATCAATTTTTTGAGGAAATATTTTTTTTTTGAGAAATTGACCTTTTAAAAGAATATAAAGAAAACCGCACCATTGATATAATACATATCTATTACTTATAACATTTATTACTGGATTTTTTTTACATATCCACATGTAAAATTACTATTAATATTTAGAAGTCCAAAACTTACAAAATTATCTAAATTATTAATGTTTTTAGCATAATTCATCTCATTTTCAAGTGCTTTAAGTGAGAAAGAACAGAATTTAATTTAATTTATTGTAGTACTCTCATTTGATTTAAACATTTAAGCAAAATAGAGAATATTCTTGATATTATGTGATTAAAATTTTTAAAAATTAAGTTATAGTAGTGCAGTGGTTATTTACATTTTCTTTTTGAGAACTAATTATTTTTCTTTTATAAAATTAGCTTACTATATTTTATAACATAAAAATGATTCAGATTAAGCAAAAAAGTATTATACCTGACCAAATTCCAACAATATTTCTAAAAATGATTACTTACATTTTATAGAATAACTAAGTTAACCTAAAGATTAAAAAAATTAGCATAATTGAAAAATAATTCAAAAATGATTTTATTAAACAGAACAATTTATCATGATATAGCATCATAAATAAATTATTATGTTAATGACATGAAACAAATTGTTTCTTTTTAATGAATTTCATTTAAAATTTTTGTTAAAAAATTTTTTTTTATAATTTTTCTTTAAGAAGACATCAAAATTAATTTATTGTATTTAATCTACATATTTCAAACACTGTAGAGTTGAGTTTATAAAACATATCTTTGAATTTTTTCCAGAATTATGACTATCAATAAAATAAACTTTTAGAAGGCTTGTAATGTATTTAATTTATGACACTACAAAAATATTATGTCATTTACTTAGAAAATTACTTTGAAGAAGTCATTAATTACTGTATTTGATAGTGTATTAAGACATGACTTTTGTCTAAAAAAGACTGAAAAAATTACACTGTCTTATATGTGAAGTTGTGACCTTCCATATGCAAATGAATCTCCCAAATGGCCTTTGGTAAGCCACAGGTAACCTCTACCTAGCACAGATCTTGAATAAAAATGTTGCTGTTTAATTAAATACATTATTATTGCTAATTTTAACTACATAAAAATGGAATTATTGTAAATATTAAAGTTAGATAATTTAAGGTCAGTTATTAATTAATTATTTGTATTGCATATCTAACTCTTCAAAGTTAAATAGTAACCCTTTTTTAGCTCTTACTATTTATGGCATAACCTGTAACATTTATCTTTTATGCAGGAGAGCTTAAGTACACTAAATACATTTTTTCCTAAATATTCTGGGCTGAAATGAATGTGTGTTTTATATGCCATAAAATACAGTTATTTTTGATATTTCTGTATTTGTTAAAATATGATAAATATCTCTAAATTGTTGTTCTGAAGAAATTTAATAAAACTGTTTTAGAATTTTAGAATAATTAATTTGAAGAATTTTAAAAAGAAAGTTGATATATTAGTAATAATGAAATTATAATAATCAATATTATAAAAGGCCAACCCAAATTATAATAATTTGGTTGGTCTTTTAAGTTTTTATAATAAACTGTAGAATATCTGGAAACATTTTAATATATATACAAATTCAGTTTTTGACTTCAAAATGTCCTTTTTTTATGCTATCTTCTATTCATTTTCTTAATTTTCTTAATTTCTTGAATTTTTAAAACGGAGTTTGTCATAAAAGAATTGTGCTCAATCCAGGCTTGTGACTGTTTTAAAAATTTGATAAATGAAATAATTCTAATCACAGGTGTAGCTACCACGGAGCAGTTGGAGCACACTGCTCCAGGTGCACGAATCGTGAGGGCTCCAAGTTAGAAAAAACTTATAAAAATATTTGTAAAAATAAATTTTCCGATTTGCTACATTTTCTATAAAATTTACAAAAGATCAAAAAAATATATTTTTTAGATAAATAAAACTAATTATAAGCACCTAAATATTTTAGTATGCACTTGACTTAGTATAATTTTAGCATACATTGTAAATATAACCATTAAGTTTGTCATTCATTTTAATGTGTTTTAATACTCTGTTAAAAGAAATAATTTCTATATGCAAAGTTGCTCAACTACTTTTAATCTACATGGCAGCCTCAAGTAGCTTCACTGACATTATTGCAGCATGTGTAATTTTCTTTTTATAACTTTATCGGTTATCACAGTGACAGCAGAACAAAGTTTTTCAAAACTAACATTAATCAAAACTTATTTAAGAAGCAGCATGTCACATTAGCTGTTTGGTTACTATATCAATTGAAAAAACAGTGGATTGTCAACTTTATCTGGAGAAAGTGATTGACTGATTTGCAAATGAAAAAGCAAGAAAACAAGAATTTTAATGTATTGTTATTTATTTGTTATAAAAGTTCACATGCATGCATTTTGCCAATAGAGTTTATATAATATGTAGAAAATATTTTTAGGTACTTCATACTTAAAGAATTACATTTTATTTTATTATTATATTTGTATTTATTAAATTAAATATTTTATTGTTGAAATGCCTTGAATTTCAAATAAATTATTATAAATGAGGTTTTAAATCTAAATAATTAGATATATGTTTCTAAACTAAATGTTCAAAATAAATTTCGCTAGACCTCTTTTGAGGAACAAGCAGGCACACCAATTCTATTTGCTCCAGGGCACCAAATATGTAGCTATGCCTCTGGTTGTAATCATAATGGGTTATGCAAATATTCATTTTCAACAACAATAACAACAATAGTGTTCTGGTTTATAGCAAGAAAGAGAGCAAACAAAACTTTTTAATAATTTATTATCTATAGTATCAATAAAATTTAAAAATTATTAAATAATGTGTGTTTAGTTTAAAAACAATCTTACATGGAATGTAAACATTACATGCACTTATGAGATTTTTTTAAAGTTATCAATGCAATGTTGAATATTAAATTATTATTATTATTATTATTGAATGCTAAAAAGATTTTAAAATATATTTTAACAAACAATTTTAATAAATAATTATTTATGTTTAGGTTCCTGATATAAATGTAGACGTAAATCTTCATTTTGTAACATTTGTTCATGTGGACGGGCGATTATATGAATTAGGTAAGTTTCAACGAATAACATTATTTTCTTTTAGTTTAATGAAATTTAAAATTTGTTATTTATCATATAATTTTAATTGTCATAAAAAGATTGCTTTTTTTCAAAATGAATTTTTCATGCATTTAAAAATCTTTTTTTTTTAATATAGTGTTTATGATTCTGTTGGTCTGAGATGATACATGCAAATGTATAACAGTAAATAAAATAAAAAATAAATAAATAACAGTAAAACAAAGAGAATCTTCAATTTAAAAGAAAATAAATTTTTTTTTTTAATTAAAAAATTTTATTTTGCTTTATAACTTTTAGGCAAAATACTGTTTTCTTAAGCAAATTTGAATGTTATGTTTAATATTAATCATGCCATTTGTGAATAATAGTTTTGTATTAGTAATATTTAAAATTGATAGTAACTTTCAGCAACTTATAGTTAATAGAGATGGAATGTCAGTGGAATCATGCTTGACATTCCAAACGCCATTGTCAAACTTCTAGGCTTACAGGATGGCGGCACAGAACATCCGACATTCACGTTTTTGTGATGAAAACATCAATCACAACCCCTCTAATAATTTAGGTTTCCTGTCATATATGAAAAGTAAAAATCTCGAAATTCTAAAATAAATTATCACAATCATGCATTATTAATTAGGTCCACATTGCAGAAAGGATACTGTACTATATTGAATTCAATATTATTGAATACAAAAAAAATTAAATAACAAACTTTGGAATTTAAATTTAGTTTTAATATTAGATTAATAATAATTTATACATAATTATTTATTTTCAGCAAATTGTTCTTCTAATGAATATTAAACGACACTTTATTATAAAGCACTAAATGATTTATTTTACTATTAATCAATAGTTTTTTTTTTTACCAATAAAACAGTTTAAAGCATTTTACATAATTTTCCAGTTTCCAATAGCCTTATTTAAGAAAGTGTCAAGATAATGAATATTATATTCAATAATTTACCAGTCTATTAATTTTTCTTTGCATTAGTTTTTAAAATGAGTTAAATTTCTTAAATTATTAACATAATGAGTAATTATTGAAAAAAACAGTAATATCAGTAACATATTATCCTTCATAAAAAAGGAAATAGGTTTGCTAAATTAAATAAAGTTTGAATAATTTAGAAATAAAAGCCTGCCTGACAGATGTTTGTTTTTTTCTTTCAAAACATTTATATTGGTTTTTATTATTTTTTTAATTGAAATTGTAGGTAATTTTTTTTATTGCCGAAAGCTAATCATCTATCATTTTTGTCTTTAATTTATCACAGTTTTTTTTAAATTGGTATTGTATTAAAGGCTTTTTGAAATTTACATACACTATAAACACATTTCTTTTCATTGAGATTACATTGTTGTAATCAATATAACTTTTTCCTTATCTTTCCTTTGAAGAATAGTGAGTAGTTATTAAAATGATTAAAATCTTAGTTTGTAAAGATTTTAATGAACTTAATAAGATTTTAAAAGTCGTATACCTATAACATAGAGAAGTTTTTTACTTTGTTTTAAATTATAAAATCATTTTATTCCATCTTAATGGAGAATTACCTCTATAATCATAATAGAGACATTTAAATTTAACCTTTTCACTTTCAAGAAACCAAAAATTAAAGTTCATAAATAGTTTTCAAAATTATTCATTACCTTATGATACAGAGTTTGTTATATCTGTTTCTCAGTTATATTTAAATTTTAAAATTTGCACAACGTAAATAAATTCTTAGAATTTTGGAGAAGTGACATGATTCTTTTTCAAATGCATTTGACAAAAATGTAACTGTTTACATAATTATTAAATTGGTTATTGTAACCATTATATATGGACTAATTCTATATCATAAAAATCTTTATTTACTACTACAAATCCCTGTAGAGATTTCAGCATTTACAATGGCCCAAGTTTGGAAAAATGCATATTGGGATTTTGAAGTAGTTAAACATTTAATAAATATAAATTCTTGATGTTAAAACGCTATTTAAATTGCTTGTTTTAATCTAAACTTTTGGTTTAATTTTTTTAAAATTATTTTTTTAATACTAAAACGTTTAAAAATGTGAAATGAATTTTTTTATTGCAAAGATTTACGTTTAAATACATATTTAAAATTAAGTTTTTAATGCTATTATTTAAACGTAGTGAACGTTTAAATAATAGTATTAAATAAAATTATAAAATTGTATAAAATTGGTAACAATAATTGCAGTGTTTCCTATAGTCAATATTTAAAAGTAGTGCTTGAATATAACTTTTAAATATTTATGATTATATTTGCCTTGACTTTCTAGTTTTAATGAATAATAATAAATCGTTTATGCTTAAGTACTTTAATATTAAAAATTATATGTATATATAAAGCGTAGACGGGACGGATTTATTTATTGGAGACTCCAGGACACTTTGTGAAAGTCCCCAGTAGTCACTCACATACTGTGCAAATTCTACTACTGTATAGAGTTCTCTACAGGGCCACTATTAGTCAACTTTCAGGGCTTAGTTGTCAAGGGGCATCAAAAGACGTTCCTAATAAAGTGCCTGATTTGAATTGTGACAAAAATTAGAACGATATCTCAAGTTGAAATAGTAAGATTTGTGAGTTTTAACTTGTCACTAGTATTATAGTTGCATATATGAATTTTAGTTTGGTAGTAGTATAGTGTTAGAAGTTATCAGGGATGTAGAATAAACTTTTAAAGACTAGTATAGCCCTAATTGTCGGTTCTGTAAAATCCGAGTAGTAGTATAGTATATTTTACAAAGCGATTTTATTTTTCATCATTCGGATATACTGTAAAGACTGAAATACGCTGATATTTGTGTATTAAAATGAACGAATAAATAAATTTATATTATCCAAACTCAATTCAAAGGCGTTTTGATGGTGAACGACAAAGGAATTTACGTACATCTGCACTAATTCGTAAGGGGCGCAAAAAATAGGACTTGCGGGTGGGCGCGGATACCCTAGTAGCGGCGTTGGGTCTCTACTTTAAATTTCATACTCGCAATGTTTATAAATTTTAAAAAAGAGAGAAACAAAAGAAATGATTCAGAAAACGGAATATATTTCATTTCCTGAATCACTTTTGCTTTTTTGGAGGCCCTTGAGCACTTGCCCAGAATACCTTCCATAAATCCAGCCCGATTGAATATAAACAGTAGAACACTGGTCGCGGGTTGACGCCTCACCAACGGACTGGCCACACGAAGTTTTCTGGGTTTTATTCATGTTTATAACACACAGATTTTCCACCCCACTTCAATGGAGCACCCCCTTGGCAGATCGCCCTCGTGTTACATTGTCTTGTTTTATCAATTAATTTTTTTATTTTCCCGGTTTTCTTACATGTAACAGAGTGAAAATATGGCGATCGGTCAAAAAATGAACTCCCAAGATTTTTACATTTTTGGACTCGTGACCTTGAAACGTCGAGAAGTGCAAAAAAAATCGGGTGATGTCTGTGTGGGGGCACGATTTTCTTCACTCTCTTTGAAACTTAATAACTCCTGTACTTTTTGTCGAGAATTTATAAAATTTTGTAAGAAGGTTTATGTATTAGAGGGATTGATGCTATTAAATTTTGGTGGTTAATAGTCGACGGGTAAGGGAGATAAAGGAGGGGTCGTGTGTCGTATCTCGAGTAGGATCGACTTAATGACGATTTTATTAGTTATTAATATTTAAAATTTTTTTATAAACCTCATCGCTACCTTCAAAATTAAGCTTTTTGCCATTTTATAATAATTAATAATATAGAAAAGTTTTTTTTTATAAAATATTAACAGATGGCTCCACACACGCAGTTGCCGGGAAAGTTGAATAACTCGGTCTGGATATTTTTTTTTCCTGAGTTAATAGCTCTTGCTTATTCAAACTAAAAATATTGTTTGTGTAAGATTTTTTATTCACTATGATTAATTAATTCAGTTTCAAATATCCTTATGGTGTAACTTTCACGGATTATAAGTATAACTCCTCAAGTATACGAAAAATAATGTTTCTATTTTTGCAGAATTTACTCTTCGCAAATTTTCCCCATTCATTGATTTAACTCTGTACCCGATCATTTATGTTACACTCTTCAGAAATTTGAACATTCAACTCCTGATGAGCTAAACGGTAAAGATCCTTCAAATCGATTCTTATATTATTATCACGATTAAAGATTCACAATAAATGGCCTTGTAACAATGTTCTTAATGGTTGAAACATATTTCTACTGACCCAGTTTCAGAGTTTTAATAAATAACATTTTCAACAATAAAAATTTCATTCTGTCCACAAGAAAAACGGTGAACAAATAGCTCTACATTACAATTGTCCTGTGAAATATTTACAATTTTTTTTTAATCAGTTTTTGTTACAGATGTTTTCATTGGTTTTTTTAATAACATTCATAAGCACACGAATCATTTCGAATAATCTATCACTTCGGGAATTAATGTGTACCTCTTTATAACCATATTTGTCAAGTAATTAGTTCTGATGTTTTGCTGACAGGATAGATAGTTAACTTTACTTTCCCGACTCGTATATTACTTATAAGGACAGCGATCGGTAAAAAAAATGGCCTCCCCTTTCCCAAGATTTTTATATTTTTGGACTCGGGACTTTGAAACATTGAGAAATGCAAAAATTTTGGGGCTTTTTCAGTGTGGAAGGCACTATTTTGTTCATCCACTTTGAAGCTTAAGAACTCCTGTGCCTTTTGTCGAAAATTTCTGAAATTTTGTAAGGCGGTTTGTGTATTAGAGGGATTGATGCTATTAAATTTTGGTGGTTAAAGTTTAGGGTGGTGGGAAGATGGCGTCACGTGTCTTATCTCGAGTGGTGTCGGATTTAATTGAAGATTTTACCAGTTATTAGTATTTACAATTTCTTTTTAAATAAAAGTCATCTTTACCCTCAAAATTAAGTTGTTTTTCCATTTTATAAGAATTGGTAATATAAAAGTAAAATATCTTAACAGATGGCGCC